TTTACGGTACGGGCTCCTTTAGCACGACACATCAGCTTTTCTTGACAGTCCTTCCAGATATACGGATTGGCCGTAGCCGCACCTCGGAATTCAATTACCTAGTATCTTTCCAGCCTGTGTCCCTGATGCTTTGGGTTCAGGAGGTGCAGGAATATTAACCTGCTATCCATCGCCTACGCCTATCGGCCTCGGCTTAGGTCCCGACTAACCCTGGGATGACCAGCATTGCCCAGGAAACCTCGGGTTTACGGCGGCCGGGGATCTCACCCGGCTTATCGTTACTCATGTCTGCATTCTCACTTCTCAGAACTCCACCTTCAATCGCCATCCGGCTTCAAGGCTCTGAGAACGCTCCTCTACCACGCACATAAATGTGCATCCAGAGCTTCGGTATAACGCTTATCGCCAATCATTTTAGGCGCAGGATCACTCGATGAGTAAGCTGTTACGCACTTTTTAAATGGTGGCTGCTTCTAAGCCAACATCCTCACTGTCTAAGTAATCCCACCTCCTTTCCACTTAGCGTTATTTTGGCACCTTAGCTGCTGATCTGGGCTGTTTCCCTTTTGAGTATGAAGTTTATCCCCCATATTCTCACTGCCGCACTACACCTGAGGGTATTCGGAGTTTGATTGAAGTCGGTACCCGGGTGTGGGCCCTAGTTCATTCAGTGCTCTACCCCCCTCAGTCAGCATGCGACGCTGTACCTAAATACATTTCGAGGAGAACCAGCTATCACGGGGTTTGATTAGCCTTTCACTCCTACCCACAGCTCATCCGAGAATTTTTCAACATTCACCGGTTCGGTCCTCCACGCGATATTACTCGCGCTTCAACCTGGCCATAGGTAGGTCACCTCCGCTTCGGGTCTAGCATCCGCAACTGTATCGCCCTGTTCGGACTCGCTTTCGCTACGCCTGCGTCCCAGAAGGACTTAAGCTTGCTACGAACACTAACTCGCAGACTCATTAAGCAAAAGGCACGCCATCACCTCCGAAGAGGCTTTGACACCTTGTAAGCATATGGTTTCAGGTTCTATTTCACTCCGCTCACAGCGGTACTTTTCACCTTTCCCTCACGGTACTGGTTCACTATCGGTCGCTAACGAGTATTTAGCCTTACGCCGTGGTCGGCGCAGATTCATGCAACGTTTCACGTGTGCCGCACTACTCAGGGACATCCTAGGGCTGTCGCAATTTTCGGTCACAGGCCTTTCACCTTCTTTGGAGCGCTTTTCCACACGCTTAACCTAATATTGACAGTCCCATATTGGAGCCCTACAACCCCGGGACCAAAGGCCCCGGTTTGGGCTATTCCGCTTTCGCTCGCCACTACTTACGGAATCGATTCTCTTTCTTTTCCTCCGGTTACTGAGATGTTTCACTTCACCGGGTATCGCGAACTCACTCCTATGTATTCAGAGTGAGACGACTGAGTATTACCCCAGCCAGGTTACCCCATTCGGAAATCTCCGGATCAAAGCGTATTTGCCGCTATCCGAAGCTTATCGCAGCTTATCACGTCCTTCATCGCCTGTTAGCACCAAGGCATCCACCATATGCTCTTAACAGCTTGTTCCAGCCCTTTCTTAAAATTTGAAAAGACTTTCAGAGAGGTGCTTATCTCCTCTCCGCTGCCAGAGTAACTTTCTTGAGTTTGCCGGACTCTTATCCGGCTTCATTATTTGAGTATGAACTCAAATTGTAGTTTTTGTTTCTTTTTATGCAGTTATCAAAGATCGATTGAAAAAACGAGAAGAGCCATGACACGGTCGGGGAACGTGGGTCTGACAGGATTTGAACCTGTGACCCCGCGCTTATCAAGCGCGTGCTCTAACCAACTGAGCTACAGACCCATCTGCGCCCTAACGCGGCCCTGTCTCCAAGGAAAAGTGGAGGCAAGGAGATTCGAACTCCTGACATCCTGCTTGCAAAGCAGGCGCTCTACCAACTGAGCTA